GATGAGAAATTAGAAGCAGGAACAAGGAGAAAAAAAGATGTAGAAAATTAATTGAAGCAGTGTTGTCAATGAAGCCATAAATTAGATATTGTGTCTTTCTGGGAATGAGCCATGAAGGTTTGAAAGATTTTTAGATTTTGACATGATAGCAGGTATAAGGATAGATTAAGTCTTGATAAAATCATACTGTCTATGCAACATATCAGCCAACAATAGTACAACGACAAAATTTAGGGATGATTTCAAATTCTAAATTCTGTGGATTTGGCTGTTAATGCTTCTGGCCTGACATCTCTTCTTTAACCAAAACCCACAATGTGATTGGAATACTTTCCCATGAGACAAACAGAGCTTTAATCTTTCCCACAAGCTACATTTTTACATCACCTAATGTAGGTTGCAGAACAAAAGCCTTGGCTGCACAAGCAGGCCAGGTGCACAGAGGGTTATAGTGTACCTTCCCTTTCCAAAACAACAGGGTGAAACTTGTCCTGTGACGTAGCAGCAAACATTTTACAAAGTGTGTTTTCACTCATCATTTCCCATTATAGACTGTTATTCAGAGTCTAGTGCTCAAAACACTTTGCTTGTTTATGAATGATTCGTATGGTTCTTAATTTTCTAGGACATTTCATGATGTTTGTACAACACTGGTCATTGTGGTGATGATCAGTTTCCTCAATGAGTCATTTCACTGGCATAAACTGAGCTAGTCCTCTGTGTTACTGTGAACTACTGATGTTTGTAGCACTCTGCCATGAGCATCATCTGTTCTGGAAGCAACAATGTGCATTTATACCACGGTAAAAATAGAGTGAGAAAGAATCAAGCAAAGTCATTTCTACTCTTCAGTATCTAGTGGGTCAATTCATGTTGGTTTTACTAATGTGCATCTCACAGTGACCTGCAAAGACCAAATTCTTTCCTTCTAGGAGGCAGGAAAGACCCCTGGTGCTTTGATGCTAGCTCAGAGCTAACACTGGCTCCTTGCCACCTCTCCCAACACTTCCAAGCCATAGGGAACTGGCATGGAGAAAGGTGCAGGTTCAGCATTGCTGCCCAACAGCAATTCTCAGCTGCCCAAACGACTCACAGCACCACAGTCAGCCACCTGTCACTTCTCATGAACCCCCAGGCATTGTATCTAAGTATTATTTTAATTAAAAGTGTGATTATTAACAATCAAAAAAAGACAAGAGCAATTCTATGCATGAGCTAGGTCCAGCCCTATGGATATACAAATGCCTCCTCATGAGTACAGCTCAGAGTGGCCACACTCTCACTAAGAGGAGCCAGTCGACAGGTTTTGTGCACCCTGCACTGCTTTCTGCACCTCTCCTCCCCTCTCACA